AGATTCGAGTTAACACATGTGATACAATAAAGTCTATAATTTGTATTTAGATATGAGCTTAGAAAATAAGAAAATATCAAGTCTTAAGCGAAAGAGGCCGAAAAAGAAAAATCAGTTGAAGTGTTCTAAAATATTTTTGCATTAATTGTTCGGTGCATAATCACCTTAACGAAATACACCAACTTATTGTGATGGCGCTATGGAATTGAGGCAAATGAGGAGCCTCAGTTTGTATAGTAATTTAACAATATATGGAACAATAAATTTAAGACTGATAGTGATGCCACCATATAAACCTAGGATTCGTGACACCACATACAATGCATTGGTGTGCACTTTTTCCGTATATTGACAGTAGATCGGAGTGCATTGATGATAAAACGACGTATACGATGTACTAAAATGCAATTGTTCAATAAATAAAGCATCGACAATATGTTGAATAGTAGTGTTTGGAGGAAAACGACTTATCGATGAAATATTCATTGCAGTCACATTGCTCAGTGTCGCAAGCATTTTTGGATTCCTACTTGAAAAATTGTTCACTAGACGATCAATCAATGTTTGATTGTAGAAAACTTCAAAAGTCGATCTAAGCAATGTTTGCAATACTGAACAACCAAGAGCCCATTCTGGCATAACCGAAGAAAATAATTCTGGTTCTACACAATCACTTCTTGTTCCGCATGAGCACTGATTGTTGACAATGACAGGAGAGGTCAGAACTGTTCTCTCACTTTCTATCTCATTCAGCCAAAAGTACCAATTCAAAGCATAGCCAGATACAAATGTATTACCATGAACGAAATCGCCAACAAGTTGTATAGCATGAGAAAAGCGACGTTTAGTGTCATTTTCGAACTGACTTATAATACCATTCATTTGCGAAAGAAATTGAAATTCTGCTGTAACTTCTGCACTCAGAAATCGTTCAGTTAAAAAGTTATCGATCGAATTCTGAACATTAGTGTGTGTTAGGTTACATAATATTGACAAGAGTTGAAAAAAAGCACCACCATTAGCATAAAAATCTGTTCGCGTCAAAATAGTCGAATAGTTGCTACTAGACAAGAATTTTATCCATTCATCCTTCACAAAGTCACTAGAACATATTTGATGATATGTGACATTCGTTGTGACTATTTTCTGATAAGGAACAGAAATCATGCTACATGGACAATAAAGTGTGGATTCATATTGAACAGCCAATTTTTTGTACTGCTCTAAAGATGGTGTCGGAGTGCTTTTGTTCATTGTCAATGTCGGTAGGGCGGTAAATAAAATAATCACTGTAATGCTGATAAGAAGGAAAAAAATGTAAAGACGTGTTGAGACACGTTCAAATTGAATGGTATTGATCTGGGTTGACCCACTGTCAAACAAGTTTAAGTTAATGAGTTTATTCAAATGTCGAGCCAATCGGTTATGTATGGCTAAAAAAATATTCTTCTTTTTATGAATTATGTTGAAATTAGTAGTACCACTACTCATAGAGTTTAGTAAACGTAGTAAAGATATTTACGAACCCATTTAAATAGTAGAAGGGTAACAGAAAAACGTCATTTAGGAGCTAGATATTATCAATATTGTACAAGCATTTAGATTCACTGAATAATTCAGTTAATATTCGCCAACTTCAAACTTTATCGTCAGAATCAAGATTAGCTTGTCAGTGGAATACATAATGCTCTGATAAAATATTTAAGCAAGGTTTAAAAAGAAACATTCCACTATCAAATGTAGTAATGATTCTTGTCGGTAGGAGAATTGTCTTCTTTTCAAATCATTTATAAACGTTCTAAAATGACCCATTTAGATTCTGTGATTTCCATTGTCAATAAAAGATTTCTCGAAAAAGTTTCTTTTATGTATTTAAAAATAAAGTTAGAATACCTAAGATTGAAATCAGAAGCTTATGAAGCTCAGATTCAAACTTTTTGTCCCATAAAATCTTTGCATAAGTTTAATAAAACCTCGAAATATCACTTCTCTTGTCGAAAAACGGGATTTTTCAATTTTCCACATATCAGAGCGTGGACAAATAGAAAAGCAATTTCTATCTTGTATACTCATCCTTTCAGGATTGAGAATAAGGCCTTTTTTTCAATTACAAGAGAAAATTTTGTTAATGAAAGCCAGAATATGTCAATGTGTTCATGAAAAAACTCAGGCAATATTCACAGTTTTTTGCTATAACTTATGCAAAACTCGAGTAATCATTCTTACCATCGCACTATCCCAAGACATCGATAAGACAATTGTATTCACAAAACTTCAGCCCAGTTAGTCTTCATCTTCAAGACTTATAATGTAAACGGTGGGACAAACTGACCGACACTCGACTGTACTCCCTTTTTGAGTACACAATACCCTGAGTTCATTTTCACCGTTTCTTTTGGTTTCTATCTGATCAGTACTCGCTTCGCTTACTAATTATTATTTAGTTAAAACAGAATCTTAGACTTACGATCATTTAGTTCTAGTTGGTTAGTTGTTGTTACTAAAGAATTTATTTGAGTGAGTTTTAATCGTTTGAGAAACTTTGCGATTACAATACTTAATAAGCGAAGAATAATATTTAGACCACCGAAGACACCTATTATTGTTGTAACAATGTATATTAGATTGAAGCGCTCTTCATATGTGTAAGTACACGAAGTTGGACGACATTGTGTGTAGTAAGAGTCATACGTCACAGACGAATTGAAATATTCCACCATCATTTCGTTCAGTATGGTTTCAAAAGTTGTATTTGGTGAAAATCGACTGGGATAACTAGAATTGAGCACAGTAATATTTTGATGCGCTGTGACATAGTAGATCTCATAGTTGCTCTGCACGGCTTCAAAGCAGCTGTCATTATACCAACAAGCAAGTGATGATTTCAGTACTGTATCCACGATGAAACATCTTAATGACATATCTGAAGGAAGATAACCAGAATAAATGGAATCATATACTCTGGCGCATTCCGTATCCTTCCTGCAGCTACAAGTATTTTCATTACCTGAATTGTACGTTCCAGAAACTAAGTAAAATAGTGGAGTTCTGTTAGTTGATAGCTGATCTAAATAATGTCCTTCAATCACTATGTTTGTGCCAAAACCACTCACATATTGCTCAGCATGAAGAATATTCTTGACTAATAGAATATCGTAGAGAAATTCATCGCGTGTCATTTCCAGGAATGCTTCAAGTGATGCTTTTCCTCGTACTATGAATATGTCACGAGAAAGAACTTGAGCATTTACAAAGTTAATGAGCAAAAATCGATTATATGCAGAAGCAAAAGTTTTATTCGCCATATCGCAAAAGAAAGCCAATGCTCGAAAGTATGACGCGCCACGTAAATAGAAATCGTCACCAAAAGGTATTCCCCACTGGTATTTCAGTGATTTATACCATCGAGGCTGAACAAAGTCACTCGAGCATACTTGATGATATGTAGGTATGACTTGAATGAATTCTTTGTATGGAATCGAAATGATAGTGCACGGGCATTCTAGTGTGTTTGGATAGCGTTCTTGTAAGTCTTCATAGTGCTGTTGAGTTGGTGAATGTATAGTTATAGTAAATGTTTGTACTGACCGAGTTGTATATAATACGAGAATAACCATCTCCCCGATTAATAGTATCGCATACACTCGAGTAGCCATACGACCTTGGTGAATACTGACTTGATCTTCTTTGTGAATATCACTGAACAAATTTGCCTCAATTAATTTTATTTTGATCTTCACCAAAATTTTTGTCAATTTGGCACGCATTGGAGTATCTAAATAGTGAAAATGACGTATTAGTTTCACATACAGTAATTCTCTTACAGTTTTTGATTTGTGGTTCAGTGTTCCGATTTAGTAATTTCCGTTTCAAAATCATTATAAGTTCGATGAAATATGGAACGAAAAGACGTAAGCCTATATTCAGTCCTCCAACCAGGCCCAACAATGTTGTTACAACGTAGATCCAATAGAATCGACGAGAATACACGTATGTACACGAGATCGGAGCACACTTTTCATAATAGGCATTGAAAGAAGTCGTATTAAAAATCTTTTCGACAAAGAGTTGTTCTACTATTTCTTTGAGAATCATTGTCGGTGGAAAACGAGTGTTTGTTGCTTCATTCAATACTGTTGTATTGATTGTTTTTGAATAAACGATGAGGATGGTATTGATGCAAGATTGATTGTAAAAACATGCTAATGACGAAGCAAATGTTGAAAGGAAAGGTAAACAATCGAACATAATTCCCGGAAATGTGACATTGGCAATGATCCAATTCAAATTATAAAATGATAATGCCTCTGTGCGATTAAATAGATAGACACCAGCTGGCATCTGACAAGATAGATCATTATTGCAAGTACAGATTTCATTTGTACCTGGAAGCAAGTAACCTGTCTGCCAAAGATATACAACAAGTGGAATATCAGCAGATGTTATCGCACTAGTACCGACAAAATTTGTTGATACACCTGTCATAAACCCATCTATTTGAGCAATTGTTTGAATGATATTAAGATGTCGTCCGAAACGATCTATTGCTGATTGCCAGGCATCTTCAAGTTCTGCTTGAATCTGAACGTTTAAATATGCTTCCGTAAAAGCAGCATAACTAATCAGTGGCTCACTAGCAAACTCTGTAAGGGCGTCATTGATAAAGTTGGTAGCACTACGACAGAGACCAGCAATTATTTGCCACATAGCACTTAGAGTATAACGCAAATCCATCGGCCAAAGTGCTTCCAAATTCATTTCAAAAGTAAAATCGATCCATGATTGAGAGATAAAATCACTGGAACATACCTGATGAAACAATGGTTTAGCTTCCATGAATTTGCCATGTGGAATTGAAATCTGCGCACAAGGACAATATAAAGTGTTCGGATATTTCTTTTCAAGTCGTTGAAATGTAGTCAGACTTGGTTGATTGATAGTTTCTGTTATGCTTTGTTGACTTATGGACGTGTAGCTCAAAAGAATAGCGAGAGCAAAACCAAACAATACTAGAAAGAGACGAGTAGAAAGGATTTGATGCCAAATAATATCAGGGTCTGTAGATTTATTGCTGAATAGATTCAAACGAATAATTTTTTCTCTTGAACTATGATACAATATTTGTAGTCGATGAAATATTGCCATTTCAATCAAGAATGCAAAGATGTATAAAATTATATGTTTATGTCCGTGATACGTGAAATATTTTATCTAGAATATATTTTTTAAAATTATTTATGCACGTTCTGTACTGTAGCCCTTTTTTTAATGGCATGATAATTGATTTAGCAACAATAATTAGAAGGAAAAACCTGACAGAAAAAAAAATTCGAAATAAAAATTTTAAAAAAGCTCTACTACGGTCCAGTACTCCATAATCTTGGAAATAGTATGGATATTGTATTTGTAAGTAAATACAAAAATGATGCGAACTCGTTCTACAGCAATGAGTGAAGATTTTAACTGAACTAAAGCACTATGTGGCAGACAAGCGCAGCTAATCTTTGTAGCTTCGTTATTGATATTAAGCAGAATGTGGTAGATAGTCTTGGTCCTAACTTTAATAGAACTCGTAGTGGTTTGATTCCGTTCACAGCATTTTACTGACCATATGACTGTAGTGTCGCTAGATGTGCTACACTAGAAACGAAGCAAGAATATGTGAGTTCGATACGTGAGCAAGAATATCTATGTTAGCTCCGAATATTTCTTCAGAAAAATGTATACTTGAAAACAATAAAAGCAATCTCGGTGCATAACGCAGTCGCTACTATTACATACGATGGATTTTCTCGAACTAATTCAGTGTAATTTCCTTCATGTTTCAAGCATTTATGGGCAAATATTAGAACAAAGCTAAGATTTGATGATCATGTCTGTAGTCCGTTTTATAGATAGATGGTCGTGGGCTTTTGTTTTTTGAATAATTTTTGATAGAATCTAGGTAGAGGTCTACGGTTTTCATCATCAGAAAGACTAGATACTGAAGCACCAAAATATACTACAGTGTTGCAAGCCATGAACAGAATGAGTAAACAACTATCGACGAAGATATTCATCAGGACTTTACAATATTATTTTTACGGGTCAGCTCAGTGATTCATTTATGTCTTTGGTAGCAAAAATTGTTCTCTGTCTATTTGCGGAAGACCCATTTTTCTGGCTTTTCCAGTTCAAGAGTCATAAGGATCTTTCTGAGACGTCTGATTTCACCTAATCCAATTCAAAGTACTGTTGAAACAATCTGAGACAGAGTAAATGATTACACCCAATCCAATGGTGATATTTGTTTTCGATGCGAAGTTATTTCAAAGTGTTTTACCAATATTGCCTAAAATGTGCACTTATACCATGCATAGAGATTGGCATAGTGAAAAATATTAAGTGCTTAAAAACGACTGAACACTAATTTCAAATCGAAGAAAAAATATCACAATTCGATTCAGTATGATGATTTATTTTGTTTTAGATTGTTTTCATGGTACTTTAAATTCGAATAGCTTAGATCAGAGGTGTCAGAAAAATTATTATGATTGCTAAACCAAAAAAAACCAAAAAGATAGGTATTTCGTTGATACACAGAAAACAAGTTTTTCTACCAAAGACGTACAATAACTACTTAACCAACTGGTAAAAATAATATTGTCGAGTCTTGCTGAACACTTTCGCTGAGGATGTGTCTACTCATTCTATCCATGACTGACAACACTCAAGCATATATTGATTCTTCGATCTCTTTTCTTTCTAATGATGATGGTCGCAGGTCTCTATCGGGATCCAATCAAAAACGATTAAAAAACAACATGCCTACGACCATTTACCTTTAAAATGGGGTATAGTCACATCTGTTTTAAATTTAAAGTATAATATTCTTCGCTAATATATTTGGCTCTTCATAATATTATTTTATTTTTCATAGAAAACCAACAGAGAGAACTAGAATATTCACATATGTCAAATGGGTGTATCATTTATGTGCTTTGAGAATGAAATTTGTAAACTACACTTTAGATAAATTGAGAGAAGTCATTTATGAAGTGTGTATTGAAGCACTCGATAAAACCTTTAAACAATATCTTGATACTTTTCATGAAGCATTAGGTTATTAGAAAGGCTTGCAAAGCTGACCTCATAGCAATGAATACAAAATAGTGTTTGTATACATTAGCTAACATTAGAAAAAAAGACACATGAATTTAAACTTCTTTACGGTCTTCTATGGAGGTGGGAATCAATATCAAATTTTTCGAGAATCATCTGCAACGTTAGAAAGATTTGTTAACAAGTGTTTCTTTCTTGTCAGAATGCCATTAGAGTGGGTGAGATATAAGACAAAATAAAACTCAGTATTTATATCTCTCCTTGATACATATTTCAAATGAATCAGTACATATATTTCTTTTTTCTCTCAATTATTGTTCGATTTTTACATCTAGTATAACTTTCATATCTTTCTATATAGTGCCTAAAGGAAAAGATGACAGCTGGAACGTAAAATAAGAAAAAAAAACAGAAAATTTCTTTGTTATTGTAATTTTGTGTTTCTATCAATTATTGTCAATCCTACAGAAAATAAAGAACCTCTATGAAAATAATATTAGTTGAAGTTGGTTCTTACCATCATAATTCGTCAGACGTGATCATAAATAAAAAGTGACTACGGATGAAAAAAGTGTAAATGATTTAGTCGTAAAAGCTTATAGGCAACTAATTTGAAAATGAATTGAGGAAAACTAAAGGAAATATAAATGTTAGTGTTGGCCATTGTCTTCGCATACCATATGTTATATAGTTTAAAAAGAAACGCTCTTTCTCAAAAACTGTTATCGCTCATATTTACTTTTTTGCTTCATAAAAAAGTATAAGTGTCAGCAGGCATCCATAAATTTTTGAACATAAAATTATTAATGAGTAGTCACTAAGTAACAATTTTATTTTTTTTTCCTTCGTGAACAAGGAAAAATGCACAGAACTGCAGAACTCTTCTTCCAAGTTGATAAATGGCAATTCATGTTTTGCTCTCTCTTGAACATTGGCATACGTTGAAGACGTTCGTGTCGGGTGAAATATGACTTTGGCTGCGAATATGAGCATCTGAGAAAAATATAATGACTCATCGAAACACAACATGAGAACACGCTCATCGTTTTACCTTTCTTATCAATCTTTTACTCTTCTTTAGTTTCGAAATAAGGTTTTTTTTGTTCTACATTGGTCGTCGTCTTTTAAGATGGAGGAAAGTTTTGGAGATTGTAAAAATGAAAAGATTCTCTTCCTTGCTTTTATTTTATTATTAAATAATTAAGTATTATTTCATGTTTCGATCGATGAAATTGATTTTCTTCAGAAATTTATTTTCAAATAAATAAAGTATATGTTATGTTAAATTAATTAATCAAAGTAAAATAGACGATCTTGCGGATGAGTAATACAATAGTCAAATATATGGTTTCTTTTGTCTTTCGTTCCTTTACCAGTATTTTAATACTGACACGAGCAATCAAAAAGAAAGAGAAGGAAAAGAATTTCACTGTTTACCGTCTTATCCCTACCAGTATTACAGTAAATGTAGAAGAAAAAAACTAGAAACAAATATTTGATCTTTGTAGGAATTATCTTTAAGACCGTCTATTTTAGTTTAATTAATTTATTTAACTTCATATACTTTATTTAATTGAAAATAAATATCTGAAGAAGATCAATTTCATTGATCGAAACGTTAAATAATGAACCATAAAAATTTAATGATAAAAATAAAAACAAGGAAAAGAATCTCTTTGTGTACTCAAAAAGTGAGTACACACTAGAATTGGTCAGTGTGTCCATCTGCTCGGCCGACTGTTTTACACCGTGACCTCTCATTTGCGAACATAAAATCGAAATTAAAATCTGTTAAATTCAATTTTAGTTGATTCTTAAACTTAATTAGTTCAAATTTGAAATAATTTTAGGTTTTAAATTTTCGATTTTCAAACTTCAAAAAAATTTACTGATAACAATTTTAAAACAAATTTAAATTTCAGCTACATTTTTAAACTTCTTGAAATTTATAGAGGTCACTAAAGATTGAGTTTCATTATTTCACTTTAATGATCTGTGGTCACCGTTTAAGGGAAACAACCGCCCATGTCTACTCGAACGCTATTGGTACGTGTGACATCACACTTTGTACGAGTGACATCACGCGTACGTCACGCGTACCGAGCGTAACAGCCGTTCGTGACGCGTACGAAGCGTGACATCTTTCTCTTTTTTGTTATTGGTTTGTTTTCATGAACCAGTAGAAAACAAAGAAAAGGACAGTGTATAAAGCGTTGATTCTTTTAAAACTATCTGATTAAATATATCGAAATAATTGTACTAAATTAGTGCACTTAATTGTTTCTAAAATCTTTATCGAATAAAATTTCGATGAAAATAATCTGTGAAATTTTAGAAAAATAATACTGAATATTTTCTGGACAAATTCAAGAATTTCTAGATGCCGCTATAACTACCAGTTATTTCGCACTTTTTCAAGCTCAAACTATAGTTTACAAGATAAAGCGTTTCTCACATTCAAGCAACAAAAAAAGGATTTTTCGTCAATATAACATTTAATGAAAAATATTATGAGCGTCATTATGTTTTAGATTCTTCATAATATGGTTGTTTTGTTTTCGTAAAATAATGAATATCAATATTTTAATTTTTTTATGATGGTTTTATTCATTTTCATTGTGTTTATTAATGTATGACTATACATCTTTTGAACATCATCTTTATTATATTCTTTTCAAGGAATGTGTACATGAACAAAGCGGGTGGTAGTGGTTCTAAATTTAATCATGAAGATCAAATTGATCAACACCGTAAGAAATTTTGTCAAATATATTTTTTATAGTTCAACATGGATTATTCTTTATAAGGCCGAGAACAACATCGAAAACACCAACTGAAATATCGTCGATCACGACGTGAACGTTGTAAGCCAATTACAAATGTCGTTTATATCTCAAGGAATATTGATAATATCACGTCCGACTCAGGTAAATATTAACTTTATTTCAAAACGAGTAATCTAATAACATAAGACAATGGAATTCTTTTTAGAAGTTGAAGATATTGAAAATGAACATAAAATATATGATAACAACGACTCTACGGACAACATAAATATTTCAAGTGAAGGTAAAAATATTTTTGACTTTCATAGTGAACGCTGGATTTTTATTCTGAACAAGGAAAAGTTTTTTAAAAATTTTTATTTAATTATGTAGAAGTAGATAGATATTTATCTACACATGTTATTCGATCATATGATGCTCATAATATGGATGAACTTCAATTAAGTGATGATGAACAGTGTTTTTCTAATGTTACTCGTGGAAATAGTGATTCTGAGGAGGAAATTGATAACAATGCTTTATCAATAGCGAATTTTATCCGGAAATCTAACCTTAATCATTCTGATACAACGCACCTTCTTCAACTCCTTCGAACCATTCGTTTTGATGAAGAAATTCCAAGAACAGAAAATGATTTATGGAACAAATTAGGTGTTGAATTTAATTTTCAGTCTTTCGTCTTTTGCACTTCCTGTTCAGCCAAATTGGTAAAGTTTTCAGACCGGTGTAATTGTACTGCATCATTTAAACAAATTAATTCTGAACTTATTGTATTTTCTGTATCATCTGCATTGAAAAATATTATTAAACAAAATATTGATTTAATAGACTGGTATCGACAAGAAGATCATCAAATTGTACCTGATATTGTTAAAGGTTAGTGCTTTTTGTCTTCTGTTTCAATGAGTATATGATTATCATCTGCATATCAAACTGAAAGTATTAGTAAATACTATTGAGTTTTGGCTGAAAAAGGTTTGGCGACAGGAATATATATACATAAGAGACTCATATAACAATAGATTCCATATGTTGGCTTTTAGCTTGAAAATATTTATCAACACTCTGTGATTAAATTTAAAAATCGATAACTTGTTAGAAGACAGATGTGCAGAAATACAAAGAAATAGATTATTTTCTTTATTAATCACATGAGGTGGTGATTTTTTTGATAGGTTAATGCAATATTTTCTTACAGGTTCTGCTTTCAAGAAAAAACGAGGAAATAATTCAATTACCATATTGATTAGCACAGATGGTAAGCCTACTTTGAAAAGTAGTCAAAGTTCTATATGGCCGGTATGTTTATTTTTTCCGAATTATCTGTTTAGATGTCTTACCTTTGTTTAAGATTCTCGGTAGTATAGTTGAAATACCCCTACCTGTTCGTGAATTTCAAGATAATATTATGCTATTTGCCTTATGGCATTCACCGAGTGCACCTAATGCTAATGTTTTTATTACTGATGTTATTAATCAAATCGTTCAACTTCAAAAAAATGGTTTGTCTATTGATTTAGCAGCTAAAGGTACGTCGATTTTATGTAACATTTCCTCTGATTATTTTAATGTTTCATATAATGGATGTACATAGAATTCAATCGGTACAAAATAGATCATCTATATGAATATCTATCTATGAAAGAAGTCTAACGAAATGATTTGTCGGACAAAGTAGAAGCTAGGACTTTCAGAAACAGATATAAATAAAAACAATTTAAAAGTTGTAGATTGGTGATTTAATAGAAAGAACAGGTCTTTGTTAAAATGTGAACCTTTGTTTAATTCGGCAAATCTTGTACTCTGAACATGCGTACAGTTTAAATTTTCATATGTACGGTAACTCGTGCATATGTTTTAACATTCCTAGTATTAACTGGTTTTAATTTCATAAGAAATCAATGTATAGTCGGATATGTTTAGAGATTTTCATTACTCTTCTCGCAGAAAAACATATTGTTTGTTTTTTTAATTTTATTTTAAAGGTATTCATAAGTTTGAAATTGATGTTCAATTATTGGTTGGTGATTTGCCAGCCAGGGCAAAAGTTACTCGTCTTAATGGACACTCTGGATATTTTGCTTGTAGTAATTGTTTATATGAAGGTGTACCATGTCCATATCATAGACATATATTATATACTTGGTCTGATTTTTGTGCAGCTAAACCTAGTGTTCGTACACAAGAACACATTGACTGGGGTGCAATGCGAGGAGAAGGTTCAGGCAAAAAAGTATATGGTGTTCATGAAGCATCACCATTATCACGTATTATGTCGATACCTATTCAATGTGTATATGATTATTTTCATCTAATTTTTGAAATACATTTGACTATGCTTGTCAAGGAATGGAAATTACGATTGACACAAGTTAATATAAATTATATTAATAAACTACTTAATGATGTTTCTTATCCTCATTCTTTCAACCGAAAACCGAAAAATTTTAATTTGTTTAATCAATGGAAAGCAAGCGAACTACGAACATTCTTTCTTTATCTCGCTTTACCAATAATTATTCGTGCTCAATCAGCTTTATCTGATAAAATAATTTACCATTTTTCTCTTTTATTCATTTATGTCAGAATATTACGTTATTTTGAAGATCGTTATCAAATACATGATGTGAAGATATTTATCGAAAAATATTTGCAAATGTTTTCAACCATATATGGTCGGTGTCATGAATTGTTATCAACTCATGTACTACTTCATCTTACTGAACAATGTACTCGTCATGGTGGTTTAAGTTATCACAGTATGTTTACATTTGAAAGTCAATTACACTATTTAAGAAAAATGGCACATGGAACAACTTCACTTGCTCAACAAATTGCGTTCTGGTATACCATTGATAGAAAACTTAATACAAGAAAAAAATATTCTGTTGATTTATTAACAAAGCAAGAGCTTCGACGTGATATTTTCTTTGATAACAGCATTCGTATTTTATATCAACAAGCATTTCAAAATGCATGTCATTTATTCTTCGGTTTACACATCGATCATGTAATAGAATATATTTCTCGTTTTGAATCAGGTCTTAAAATGTATCATTCACTTGCTTATCTTCGTAAAAGAAGCACAGCTAGTTATCGGATTTGTGTTCCCAATCCACGGTGCCCAAAAACAATTTGCTTTGGTGAAATTGTTTTCTTTTTTTCATACCGTCAGGAAAATTTTTTATTGTTAGAACAATATCGCTGTTCACTTCGTACTTTTTCGTCTTTTATATCATATGAAAACTGTTTAGAATCATGGTCAGATTATATCAATCGTTTTTATCATATTATTGAAAGTTCATTCTTCCATTTTGTTATCTTATCCTGTACTTCAATTGTTAATAAGTGTTTGTTTATTCCATTTAGTGATACAGATTTTGTGTGTACTGAAATTGAACATGAACCAGAACATGATTAAATTGAATAATCATTTTTATTTTTCATTCTAGATTAACATTCACATCATTGAATTTTTTCTATTTACTACTTCTAAATTATTATCTATTATAATTCTCTTTCATCATCTTATATGTGTGCTAGTAATAATTATACACAAAAACAAAATGGTACATCTCGAAAACAATACTTTTCATCTCAAGCAACAACTTATCGATCTCAATTAGAAAACGATGATACAGGTTTTGACGATAACTTTGATGATGAATGTAAGTATTTCTATCGTATTTCTCGATGTTTCACGTACTCCTGAAGAACACAGAATTTAGACACTGAAAGGACCTTCTGCTAAAACTTAGTTGAACGATTTTGTTTTATGAAAAAGAGCGCACCTTATGAAAGAACAAATGCAATACTTTAAAGAATTAGGTACCATCTCCTTGAAATTAATGAATTTTGAAGCCGAAATTTTTATTCAAATAAAACACGAGTAAAATATTTTTCTGTTGGTTTTCGAAGTCAGCAAACAACAAATGTATAGAAAAAACCATCTAGATACGTTTGAATGAACTGGGATGAGCACGCATCAAACAGCTAATTGAACGGGTTATTAGAAAAGTTTTTGAAGGTTTTTGATTTTCATTCCTTTTGAAAGCACTGAAATAGTTCCAATCGTCCTTCTTATTACCATAAATATGTGATAGTGCCAGCAGCTGAGGAATTGATATTGAATTTTAGGAACAACACTTTGACATACAGTAAATCTCATATAGTTAAAAGGATATATTTCTGACTACATTTGTTTACAGACATACAATATTTTCTCGAATGTATCCATTATCTTGTGTCTATTTAGGTCGTTATGTTGGTTCAACTTTCACTCAACGTTCATCAAGACAATCAAAATATAATTATTCACGTCAACCAACAACAACATCACGTTATGCTAATAGTAAGTCGTTCTATATCATTTACATCACATAGAATTGATTTATGCGTATAGGTCCAGTTCAATCACCTTCAGTGAAACGAAAACACAAGGATATTTCTGTTGGAGAAGCATTGATCCTTGAAAAACTTGATGAACTTGCTGAACAAGTAATGACGTTACGTGAAGAGAATCGAGAACAATCGAAAAAATTATTCAAAAAACAAGAAAAAACACAAAAGGTCGTTTGTAAAGTTGCACATGGACAAAATCTTGTAAGTTAAATAAAAATTTCTTCGGTCCTTTCTTCGCTCTTTTTGATAATTATTATATGACTTATAACTAACAGTATTCAATTATCATGTCTTTTTAATTTGTTTTTCTTTTTGAACATTGAATTCAGTGAAAATTTGATGCTATATTGTGCAGATTACGTTTCGTTACAATACGGTCATTTGTTTTTATTTGGTTTAGAATTGATTAGTACTCTAGCAGAGAAGATTTTTTTTTGTCGAATTTTTATAAATATCGTGGCATAAATGGCTACTTAAACAAAAGTTTTAAAATTGTCTAAAATAAATGTTTCAAGGTTAATTTGAACCAGCTTTTCTTTATTAAAACGAAAGATAATTTCTATTAAATATCTGACCATATGTCTTTTATAAAATAAAATTCTAGGCTGTTCCAACAAATTCATCATCATCTGAACCATTAGAACCAGTTGTAAGTTTTTTAATCTTTCTCTTTACAATATATTTACAAATCTATTATAGATATTCAATGATCATAATCTTCTTGATGATGTTGATATGAACCTAAAGCCAACAGCTTTTTTATGTAAACTTGTTCGACGATTATATACAGTTCAAGAAATTGAAAATGGTGTAGCACATGATGAACGAATGTTAAAAATTAAACGTAAATAGATGTCTTTTTTCGTATAAATTTTAATGTTTTTATTACATTTCAGAAGCTGTAAGAGCAGCTTATTATTCAAATGATTTCGTCAAATTTGACATCTTCTGGAAAACACAAGGACATATATCTGTTCAAGGTCAAAAACGATCTCAAAATTATCGTACTCGACATCGAAATGATGAGTAAGCGATAACGTATTAGTTGATGTATTAATGAATGAATTTTTTTGCTTTAGTGTAAATCTCAATCCAGCTCAATAATCACGTGAAAAACAACAGTACAAAAAATACCAGTGGTCGTAAATAAATTCTTCTATGAAATATGTAGAATATTTTGTTATTTCTTTTAAGTGTCGGATACCCATGTAAAAAAAATCGATATCAAAAATCGATTAAAAATCGATTAAAATCATACTATTTTAATCAATAATTAAGCAGTAAGAATCATTGTAAAATCAGATTTTAATCAATTATTTCGATTATTATGATTATAATCG